TGCACTACGATTCCAATGTATCATCAGTGAACAATTAATGAGCTGACATATGAATTATCATATGGTGATTTATTTACTGAGGGCACAAATGGGTAGTCGAACTTTCTGAGTTTACAAAGTCCTACATGACCTTTTTGTAATCATATCAAGCCAAATGTTAAACAGAATGAGTCAAAGAGTAACACAAGATTGCACACCTGCACCACATCTGAAATGTTCAATAAAACAGCTGATTGGACAAAGTTATTTGTGCACACATAAAAAAGAAGTGCTTCCAAACAATCTGTCTCTGTCTTTTTAGGTCATTATTCTTTAGGCCCCTTTTTGGCACTGACCCAAATGTAACATTTGTGGGACCTTTCAAGGACAACTGCACAAAATTACACTTAAGCCAGGAACACTGGCTGACTTTGTTGTGGACGTATGATCTACTTTCATAGACGTGTGCCCTCTGTAACTTGGACAGAACTTCACTGATCGACTCTGATGGTGTTTCCTGCCAAACAGCTGGAAACCGTCACATCTCTATTCATAAGCTTTGAACACATCAGGAACATTGGACTGGTAAGAAAGAAACAAGATGAACATCACAAAAAAAAAACTACAATATATTCAATTCAATTTACCTCACTTCCCAACTTCTTCCAGATAAGGCAAATGTGTCACACTTTGTTGATCTTTTGTATGACAGACAACACATAAAATGCATGTGAATTCTGCACTGGCCACGATATGGCAGATGCAAATATGAAAAAAGTCAAAAGATACATTTTCATGGTTCATTTCCATGAGTTTATACAGTACAAGGTGGATGTGGTCCACAAAGTTGCTTCTGAATGACTGAGGGAGACTAGAAGTTATTACAACTAAACCATGCTTTACATGTCGGTTATCTTCCACCGATAGCCTGCTTTCCAAAACGGTAATAAATCCAGTCATGTTGACGGCTTCTGTGAGTTGGCCTGCATTTACAATCTTAGTAAAACCACTGTAGAGGAAAATTGAAGTTGGATTAAAAAAAATGAATGAATAGATAGATAAATAAATAAGTGGTCTCCCTGTGCTGTCTTTAAAATGGATGCCTGAAATTTACAGTTTTCCATTAACTGATGCCTAACAGCTTTTCCCCCCTGCTTGCATCCTGGCCTTGGCGGATGGCTTCTCTGTCTGTGGCTACTCTCTGTAGGCTGCGACAGTTTATTTCTCCACCTTCCCAACTTAAATGTGTCCGTCTCTTTTTTGTCTGCTCCTTTTAACCTTATCACTCTGTGCTCTGAAATGCAACCACATCAGCATAAACACTGTTATTGCTGTTATTACCTTTATCAATAATGGAGACGTCAACACAATATCAAAAGAATCATTTGGCGATATGGCAGCCCAATACCATATACCCACATTCTGAGTGCATTACAAGAACCGAGCCGGATATGATAACACCTTCTATCAATAATTACCTCCTCAATGCTCTGAATACGAATCGACTGATTTTCTCTCCTCAGAAACCGACAGTCGGAGACCAAACACTTCCTGCCCCTCCCTTCGCCTAAAGAAAGTCCTACATTCTATTTGATAATACAATATACAGCGAGGGAGATGGGCTGGGGAAAAAAATTATATATTTTTTTGTTCTTTTTTTTATTTGTTTTTGTGTTCGTTGTGATAGGGATTATTATTTCTCAGCTGGTGGGATCACATTGCTCTTGGTCGCTCATGGTTGTAGACCCCTGAAGAATTCTATTAACCCTGGTTATGTCAGCCTTAATAACATGCCACACTGCTAAACAGGACTGGATTGATTCTGTGTGGAGGGGTGGGCAGGGGGGGCCGGATGGCTGTGTATAATAAATCCAAGCATAATTCACTTTTAAATAGAACGCTGAAATAGAACACAGAATAAAGAGAGGGAGAGGGATTAAGTCTCCCTCTTATCTCTGTGTCCGATTGCAGCGTTAACTTAAGAAAATAAATAAGGGAACGATCGGATCGAGGGGCGTGAGTTGAGAGGTAGTGCTTTGTAAGAGTGGCCCATTGATTGTCTCGTCGATGAAGACTGCTTTTCTTTTGTGGTGCTGCAAATGCGATGTGAGGAGCCGGGCCTCGGCCATGTTTGCCATTCATTAAGCGCCAGCCAGGAGATGCCAGGCAGACGGGCCACTCTCATGATAGCCACAATCAAATCAATTCAGTCACCTTGAACTTTGATGATGGAGAAGAAAGAAAGAAAGAAGCAAGAGGTGTCTATATCCTCACAAACACTGACAAACATCAAAACAGCTCAGGCAATTACTGAGTGAAAAAAAGAAAAGAATTACACAACGCTACCAAGGGAATGAACTTTTAATCCCTCACTTTTAACACAAACTACTTATGGGCCTCATGTGTTACATCTGCCAAAAAGCATTAGCAGAACACTATGCTTTATATTCTATCAAAGAGATGCCAGCTTCCACAGCTTAGATTTATTGTCATCTTCATGATCCTGCTGTTGTTTTAAGGCACTAATGTGTGTGTGTGTGTGTATACGCTTTTTTGAGTATACAGAGAACGTCAGCAAACAACTACATATGGGGAGGATATGGCAAAAATATTGTATCATGATTTTAAAACATTTTCATGACACACAATATGTACTGCAATATTCTGACATACAGACACAATGTACTAGCAACATTTAAAATGTGACCTCAAACGCCCTGGAGATGATGCCTTTTATTTAACATTTCGCATGCTGTACTGGACTAAATCCATTTAAACAGAAGCAACTATACTTTCTTTGTAATGAAACATGCAGCTGATCTGTGTTCTTTATGTACTGACGATGTCCACGATACTCTCTGAAAAGCATACTGTTTGACACGATAACAAAATTTATCACAATAACGATAAATTATTGTCATATTGCCCACCTTTAACTGCTTGTATCATTAAAAGATTAATGTATCGGTGTGCTAATCTAAAATAATACAGATGCAGTCAGAGGCTACGCAGTTTCATCATAGAACAGCAATATCAGCAATATGATGATTTGGATTTTTGTACCTAAAATATATTCGCAAACTTCACAAAAACTAAACACTGTGACACAAATTGCGTATCATGAATTGTGATGTTATATTTTTGCCAAATCGCCCACCCTTAGTGTGTGCTGTCCTGAATGGAGATGCGCTTTAGCAGGGGGCAGCCAATGAGGCTTGCTGTAGAATGGTAATCTGAGCACAGTCTCAGCCCTCTGGCAGCGTTTCCCTCTCGTCTCCCTGAAGTCTGCTCGTGCGCACCACGCCTAATGGAGACCCTCATCCCTCCCACCCAAATTAAATGAACTGTGACTTTGAAAAGCACCGAGCACCTACTGTAGCTCCTACCATTTTCACAAAAGCCCTGCATCCCTGGAGCACTTCGATGAGTTTGCGTACATGCGTGCTTATACGTGACACTGGTGTAAAACTAAATGCTTTTTTGACATTAACAACGAACAGAGCTTACTAGACCGGATCACTACAAGAGAATCTTTCCACCTCTATGAATGCAAAAAAAGCAACCTGATGAAAAGACTGCAGGAACTGGAATCAAAACATCTAGCAGATAAAGCAGGGAACTATCATAATGTTAGCCCTTTGGAGCCCCTCCTGCTAAATCTCATCACCATAATTATCACCATGATTATCATCAACAAAAGACAACATATCCTAAACTTAATGAAAATACTCAGCAGCAGGCACACACATAATTTTGATACTAAATGGTTCGGCATCAGGCTAACCTGATTTTCGTGATAATCTTTTAGTACATCAAAAGTAAGATGTTTTTTTATATTCACAAAAAACACAAAAAATAGGCTTTATCAAGACACATTTTTTCCATTGTGGTCTGTTACTGATTTATTTTACTGCTGCCAATAGTATGTAAAATTCAGGATTAAACTGTAAGCTGGACTTACATTTCAAAAGCAAGTTGGGGAAAGTGCTAACCTGCTATATAATCTAAAAAAAAACAAAACAAAAAAAAATTCACTGACAAGCCCAAAATACTTTTGCGATACAAGAGAAACAAGGCCAGCATCAATGGTGTTATGGGGCCACCACAATGTGCTTACGGCAAAGCCAAGCATTACTGAAAAGTGTGCAAACAAATGAACCCACATCAAACTGGCACTGTATGCCTTGCTACAAAAGTGTTAAAAGCATAGTAGGGCTCACTGGACTGGACACTGAGTCCTCTTTCAATGAGAGAAAATTAGCAGGATCTGGGGTGGTCTAAAAGCTCAATGCTCCCACAGACTGATTGGATCAAAAAAGTGAATTTCTTTAAACTGGAGCAGAAACACTAACGTTTTATTGGCTCATAAAGTTCTCCTTTGTATATAAAGAGAACAGCATATGTAAAGGCAAGGGAGAATAGTAGGAACACCTGTGCTGCAAGTAATCATGGCCTTTTAGACATTAGCTTTCACAAGGCATTCAGAACACTGACCAGACAGCCCTCTTTTGAATGTGGCCAATGTAGCGTTTGATTTCACCCATCAATCAGGAAAAACCTGATGACCCCATTTAAATGTAAGAGAAATTTCTTGTAAAGCTGCATTCTCACAGTGTAATTTCTCATAGTCTTTTCTTGTTTTGCTAGTACATCCTACCGTTTGTATTTGATACACTCTATTTGTGATTTGGTAGCAGTTATGTTTTATAGAAACAATACGAGAAATATGACAAAAGTAACACAAATATGACGTCCTTAAAAAGACATACTCATATATTGAAAAATAACACACTACATGTGGGTTTTAACACATCTGTTTCAACAATGTAACTGTAACTTCAAAAAAGTAACAGTATTAGTTTGTTCATAATGTACACATACAAAGCACATGCCATGAAGTGCAAGTGTGTTTGACACAGAAGAAAAACGCATTAGGCTGGGATACGCTGTTCTCATTAAAAAACTGGCTGGGATAAATACTGGGCTGTCTTAGAGTAAAGTGAGGTGGTGGAGGATCTTACCGGAGGTAGTCCCGCCGGCACAGGATGAGGTTGGCTTTGGTGTAGAGCGTGGAGCCCACCTCGCCCAGGCGACAGTCACAGCAGGCACACTTGAGGCAGTCCTCGTGCCAGTACTTGTCCAGGGCCTTCAGCAGGTAGCGGTCCTTGATCTTCCGGTTGCAGCCGGCACAGCCTTTTGGCTTCGTGTCCGGCTGGACGGAGAGCATTTGTATACCTGCAATATTAAGAAAAGAGTAAAGACTATGAGGAAAAAAAAAACGACAACCAATAGACTGAACAACATTCAAAAAAATTAACTGTTGTATTAATTTAGTTATGGCACACAATTGTGTTCAATTAAATGGAGTAGAGGCTGTATATACAGACTTTGTCACCGCAACATAAAATGAAACTGCAATGAATGTTGAAATATTTTCCGTTTCACTGCCTTTGGTCATTTTTTGAGTGTACTGATGTAACAACAAAACCCCATATATTCAAACCTTTGATTACAGGATAGATCAGCTCTAGTGGGAAGAAATCTGGCAAGTCAACAAGGACATGCAAACACACTGCTACTTATCGACGAAAGAAAAAAAAAAAACAGTTAGCCACAGCTGCTAGCATCTTTCCATCTCTTGCTCTCACTCTTTCTTCCCCCTCTCTATGGGAGGGGCCAGGAGAAGCTTGCCCCCAGAGCAGTCATTGTGTAGCCCCCATTTAGGCTCTGAAAGGGCTTTGTTGGGTAGAGAGGGAACAATGCGGGCTCATGCAGACGGCCTGTAATTAGTATTCTCCCTCCATACAGAGGAGAGTGAGCTCTACCCGACGCCTGCACTCCCGCTCCCCTTTTGTCCTGCCCCAGTAAGTTTTTGTCCTCCATTACAAGTGTGTCTGATTCCCGCCTGTTGTGCTGACACCAGGACAGTACGCCTTGCTCACCTTGTGCTGCAGAGAGAACTGTCACAGCCTACAGTGCCTACACTGAATATATATGTTACAGACTTAATTGCAAAACTGCAAGCAGAAGTAAGAGCAAAGTTTAAGTAAAGGGGGCTACTGGAAGCCTTTGGAACTAGAGTTTTGTGGTGCTACTAAAGTTAATGTATTATACAAGCAGTACAGAGAACAATTAAGCCTTTAAGCAAGTAATGCTTCAAAATTCTCAAACCATAAAAGAAATACTAATCTCTGTGTGCCGCATCTGTAGCATACAGCCAATTAACATGGACAGTAATTTTGACACACTTCCCAGTACTTAGTAAAAGAACAAAAAACTTGAAATGCACAAAAGAAGCCTATGGGCAGGTGCTGAAGCAACTGTCCAATGGCTTCTGTTGCTTTTATGTTTTGTTCTTTTCTATGTAAAGGGATTTTTGTCAGTGGTAACTGACTGTATGCCACAGATGCGGAACATAAGAGATTAGAGCATGTGTGAAATTCAAGCAAACACACCACCAAAGTAAATCTATCTTGTCCCATCACTGCGGAACAAATATCTTACGCTGCACTAGGCAGAGCAAAGCGGCATGCAATGACCCTCCTCTGCTACAGAGCCATTCTCAAGTTGTAGGAATTTGTTGAAGGGTTAGCCAAAAAAGTGGAAATGCACAGACATGAGTGTGCAAACTATACAAAAGGCCACAAACCCCCCTCAACACATTTGTCATTTGAATGCAAACAAAACGCTGCTGCGCTTAGAAGTTTTTTTTCTTTTTTAAAGGAGCCGATTAAAAGTGGAGCTTTTGTGAAAAGAGAGGAAGAGAAAAAAAAGCTGCAAGGCTGCCACTCTGTTTGCGGTAATGAGCGAAGCCATTGCATTTAAGCCGTTGAGCTTTTAATTGGCTGGATGGTGAGTGTGTGTGAGGAGCGCACGGCTGATCGCCTCTGCTATGCGAGCTTCCTCTTCAGCAGCACTCATCCGCACCAGCCCGGGGAACACAACACAGCCGGCACCTCTCATTACCCAGCCAAAGAAGTTCGAGTCTTGCCCTTCCTCAACTTCAGCCTGCCGTAGGTTTTTCAGAAGCAGCTTGAGACGATGGCTCTTTTGTAAACAATGCATGTCCTATGTGTGTCCACTACAACTCTAAATAGCATGTCAAAACAGTACACACCCATCAGCAATACATTAAATAGTTTAGTACATATAGTGTGCATACTATAGTATAGTAAGTGGTTTGGGATGCTGCCCTATTCTTTCAGCGCTCTGCGTCCAGATGACCAGTCTGGGAGTTTGTGTGCGGGTCTACAGGAGGAGAATTTGTTCTACTGATTGCTGAGCGACGATCTGTTCCTCTAGCCTAAGCTGAGGTCTTACATATGGGCGTCTTTTATGTGTACCCCTTTTTTAGTCTTTACTCCACGGCCATTTCATCACATCCCGCTCTCCCAGGCAAGGACACTCTGCATGCACTTTACTGAGCTATTCTACAACTGAAATCCTGATGTAGATTTGATTTTTTTTTTTTTCTTTTGATCATTATTTTGGACAGACTTGAGCAAAAGAAAACTACCAATTTGATCCCCCCTCCACCCTCCTTTGAAGCGCGTCACAGCTGCGCGAGCCGGAGATGCTGACATTTCACCCGCTTATCACTTTAATTACGGTTGCCATGGCAGCGCGGTGCTCGGAAAAGGCCAATAAGATTTGCTACAGAGAACCCAATTTTCGAAGCAGCTCGCGACACGACCAAACGAAACCGTTAAACTCAGAGACCGTTAAAGACGTTGAAATCACCTCACGAAAAAAAAACGACAAAAAATACATTCAGGAGTCTACGCGAAGCCCGAACGACACGTTTGCTGGTGAGAAAAATGTACACACAACACAAATACATGGTAGGTTTAACGATTTGATTCAGAAAAATCGATCTGACACGCGTTCTCCGAGGTAAACTACAGGCTAGCTAAGCGCAGAAACAGCGTAAACAGTTTAGCATTAGCACCACAGTGCTGACGATGACGCGACAACGACAGAAAATCACACATGGAAGCTCTTACCGAAACTTTTCTCCCTTTTCTGCATTGGTCGACTCGCTTCAGCTCCCCAAAAAACACCACCACACACCATTCAACAAGAGGAGGAGAGAGCCAAGGCTTTTCCCCTCGGTCTCCGTAAAGTGAGCAGCCGCGTGCTCGCTCTCTCTCTCTCTCTCTCGCTCGCTCTCTCTCCCTCTCTCTCTCTCTCTCTCTCGCTTTGAGGGCGGTTCGCTTTTGTTAGAAGTAACAAATCCAGCTTCGCCCTCACAAGAAAAGAGGGGAAAACGAGGAAAACACCAATCAGCGGAACACAGTCGGACCGGTGGCGGAGGGGGGGGAGAAAGAAAGAAAGAGAGAGAGAGACTCGCTATCGCCTCGCGCCACACGCCGTTAACACCGTGCGTCTCGTCACGACCAGTGCTCGACTATGAAATTAGATCCAGCAGCAGCAGCATCAGCCGAGTGACGGCGAGCAAAATGACAGCGCGGACGACAAAGGCATCTGCTCAGGCAAACCCCTCCGCGGCGCCCTCAGTTTATAATCCCGCCGCTTCACTCACAGACAAAACAAACAGGGGGACGAGCGGATCAGCAGCCCGCCTGTTTAGCCTGCTTGACTGAAAAAAATACACAGACTTTTCGCTCGCTCTGTTCTTTAATCGTCGAAGGTTCAGTGCCAGTGTTATTAATGTTAGTAATAACAACGGAAAAAAGCCCAAGTTTAAACTCACTAACACCTTTTTGTCCTATTCACACGTGTTTAAGCATCTGTACTCATACTGCTGCATGGGTGCAATTATCTGACACATAAAGAGCGGTGAAAGAAATAGTCCTTTAAAAAAACACAGCGCTTCTGAAGACGTGGTTTCACGCAGTGCTGCTCTTTGGGCATCATCCTTTAGTGCATTAGCACCAAATAATGCTAATAAAGCCGGAGCTACAGAATCAAATCTCAAGAACGTCTCACTGAATTAAAAAACTAATTTTATTAATTAAAGGAAGTCGAAATTAAGCCAAAGTGTGTCCTCTGCCGACCAGCCACCTCACTCACCTTCTTGGCCCAGTTCAGCAGAAGGTTCACCCTGGAGTCCGGCGCTCACTCCCAACTCTCTCAGATATCTCCGAGCGAAGAAAAACAACAAAAAAGTTCACGAAGCCGACATGGCGCCGCGGAATCTTCAGGTGGAAAATAATGAGGTCCACATGGATCTCCGCGAGTCGCTCTTCGTACCCACAGCTACAGGTGCTCCTCTCGCGCGAGCCCTCATAGACTCGAACAGCGCGTGCAGTTTCGAGTCGCGAGCTTTATTGCGTTCGCAGCGCGTGAGACGTTACACGGCGAGGAAAAAGGTCGTTCACTTATAACTGATAGTCGGGAGTCGCGTGCGTGCGAGCGAGCGAGCGTATGCGCGCGCGCGTCTATACACAAACTCTCGCGCGCTCTCCTCGTTGGCGCGTGCGGGAGGTCGAGCCGCGCGCACAAACGAGCCTTGTAGTCTACTCTCTCCTACAGTTTTTTTTTAAAACTCTCTCTCTCTCTCTCTCACTCTCTCTCTCTCTCTCTCTCTCTCTCTCTCTCTCTCTCTCTCTCTGCGTACAGGCTGCAAAGTGATACATTCAGATCACTTTACAACTCTAAACGGCCAATGCACGCGGACGAAGCTCTTCACAAGTGACGTGTGCACGTGCCACTCCAGACCACCGCTTTCTGAGAGGAAGACTTTAAGAAAAAGCCACGAAGTTCAGTTCTGTATCAAACAGATGTCACCTAGACTTATTGTGTAGAGCGCGCGATGTGAAGGTCAGTCATAATAATCCTGAAGAGTCATGTTAAACACTTCCAACGTTGCTCTACAAGTGGTCATCTTTGCAGGCCGGGGTCTGACCACCAAAACCACTTTATCCCACCGGCCTGCACTAAGAGCCAGCTTTACAGAGTAGGACCATTTCAGCAAGAGTTCATTTTCATGCTGTCTGGCTCTTGTTTACAGCACGCGCTACTGCAGTTAGTGCTGATTTCCAGAGGTAAACACGTGTGTCTTTGTTCTGTAGAGTAACTCAGAAGCTTTTGCTCAGTCTTTACTCCCGTTAGAGCTCATTGATACCTGCGTTGCCAAGGAGAGTGATTCACAGATTTCTGCTTTTGACAGTGTCCAAAAACTTTGTTTTTCTCGTTTCTCTCAGTTTGGGCGGAGGAGATGGGGTCAGAGGCATCGGGTCCATTGGTGGCTCGCGGCCTCTTGCCAATCACTGTGGCTAAAGCGCGGCGCTAATGAGATGGGTCATAAAACGCTCCTCGCTACCATTATGAGTGATGAGATGCATTAAAGCTGACAGGGTATTACCTGCCAGTAATTAGGTTTTGTCATGGATTGAATTATTTCAAAGCGGGCTATCTGCGTAATCATGCAATTTGCGGGGGAGAGACGCGCGAAGGGGAGAGGGAGAGAGAGAGATGGGGGGGGGGCACGAGGCTCGCCTTCCCCCCTTTACCCCCCACCCCACTACCACTTCATCTCGCGCATTATCGCATTATCACGTCAATTATTCAGCACAGATATGTGAGTTATGTGGAGGGATGAGCTGGAAAGCGGCAGCATCGGTGCGTGCGCGCACGCGCGCCTCTGTTTGTGTGAGAAATAGTCCCGGCACCGCTCGCAGTGCACCTGCGAACGGACAGCGGTCAGACGCACGAGTCCACAATTCTCGGACAAACACGCTCGCAAACTCGCAAGCGCGCGCACACACACTCACGCACACAGTCATGCACACGCACGAATACATTCTCTCTCTCTCTCTCTCTCTCTCTCTCTCTCTCTCTCTCGGCAAATAGAAACATATTCTCACAACAATACTGGAGTAAAAAAGTAAACAGACGCACAACTCATACCATTAGCCCCCATTTAGCACCTCCACCACACCTACTAACCCACTGCTAGCGTACATAACATCAACATCAAGCCCCCCATGCCCACCCACCAAACCCACACGCACTTCTCACCTCCTAAAAACTTACCAAACACCCTTCACACGCTCCACGTCCACAAACCTCACTCTAACACACGCCCCCATATGTAAAACACACAGAAACGCGACTAAACGCTCCGCCTGTTTTGCGCGTGCACGTACGCTGGCCACTTTAAAGATGTTAGAAGCCTAAGGATACCGTACCGAGCGAAAAAGCAGCAGCCAAGCTCGTATGCTTCAGGTCTAGCCTGGACTGGATCTCCTCCTATGGATACAGAAAGCAGCGTCTTTCCTTTTTTCCCTCCCTTCCTTTCCCCTCTCTGCTGAAACGACTGTTTCTCTTCTCTTCTCTTCTCTTCTCTTCTCTTCTCTTCTCCTCTCCTCTCCTCTCGTCTCCTCTCTCTGGCAGCAGAGTTGAGGCGGACCTGAGCCGGCCCTATTTAAGCACCTTCCAGCAGGTCCCTAGTTAGCAGCGCGCTCCAGCTCATCCAAGAAGCTGACAAGCACCGTTAGGGAAGGCAGCGCATGTTGCTCTAATGGACCTCATTAAGCTCTACTTACAGATGTTCTCTTAACATAATTGATCTGCAGCGAGTTGAGAGGACGGCAACCTATTCCCCAGCCCCCAATTATGGCCCGGTAATTAGATCCCCAACCTCCAGCTCTCCACATTCACCCTTCTAACATTCCGAAATATCAAAGTATCTCTTTCTCTCAAAGCAAAAACCCTCCTGCTCCCCCCACACCACCCCCTCCACCACCACCACCACCACCTAACCTCCACGTCTCCACTACCTCCTCCTCCTCCTCCTCCTCTTCCCAAAGACTCCATCCCTCTGACAGTATTGACAGTCAGATCTGCTAACCTTTGTAGTGAAGCCAGACTTAGTAGTGCGCTCACTCCAATTGACAGAGCTCAGTCTTCTTTTTTTCTGTCTCCCTCCATCTCTCGCTCTTTTTTCTCTCCCTCTCTCGCTCACTCTCTCTCAAGCTCCTTTTTCTCTCTTCTCCCTGCCGAAAAACCACCCTGGGAAAGAGTGAAGGATGGTGTGCGAAGGGATGAAAAGAAAGGGAGGGAGGAAGGGAGGGAGGGAGAGAATGAGGTAGAGAGAGAGAGAGAGAGAGAGGAGAAAGAGAGAGAGAGAAAACAAGTTTGTACTTTTGATAAAAGGTTGTAATGATAATATCTGTCAGGGGAGGATCTTTTTTTATAATGTCTTTTTATCTTTGATAATTCCTCTGATGGCAACTCTGAGGAGCCGATGCGAAAGGAGAAGAGGCTGGTGGCGTGAACAGTTTGAGGAGTGATGGTGAGGCGTTTATAATGCCAATCAGAGCCACTCCTATTACCCGTCTAATTAGCGAGCACACTAAAACACAGAGCACTTAAGGGAAATGGGGATGTCACACTTCTTCACTTAAAAGGGGAGACAGTTTCGTCACACTGGGAGACAGAGGAAGCGCGGGTGCACTCGGTGCCAATCATCGCCAGGCACGTTTTTCTGGAGCACAGGTTGTGTGTGTATGTTTCAAACAACATATAGACACAACAAGTCCAATTGTAAGCAGTGTTAACATTCAGACGTAGCCAAAACTACACCTTAAACATTGCTTTGTGAAAATATTACAAATGATGGCGTTCAAGAGCGTCAATGCAAATTGACCTCAGGCTCTTAAACTCTAGGTTGATTAATGAGTCATAACCCTTGGCTTATTACTTAGTCATAATAATAAAAACTTAAAAACTACATATAGACCAACAAGTCAGACTGTACGCAGTGTCAACATTCAGACATAGCCAAAACAACATTTTAAACTTTGCTTTGTGAGAATATTACAAATAGAGTGATTCAAGAACGCCAGTCTAAATTGACCTCAAGCCTTAAACTCTAGGTTTGGTATTGAGTTATCATGTCCCTTAGTTTATTATTCAGTTATAATAACACAAAACTTCATATAGACAACAAATCAGACTGTAAGCAGTGTCAACATTCAGACATAGCCAAAACCACATGTTAAACTTTACTTTGTGAGATCATTGCAAAAGTTGTGGTGGTTCAAGAAAAGCTATGCAAGTTGACCCTAAGAACTCAAACTGAGTTTCCATAACTCTTGGCTGATTATTCAGATATTATGATTTATTGAAAAAGTACATGTATACACAACAAATCAACCTATAAGCTTGCGAACCTTCAGGCACAGCCAAAATAACATCTTAACTGTTGCTTTTTGAGAAAATTGCAAATGGTGTGGTTCAGGAACTTCACAGCAAACTGACTATAAGCCCTTAAACTCTATGCTTATTGAGTTATCACAACCTTTGGTATATTACTTAGTTATAATACTACGTCTAGAGCAACAAATCAGACTGTAAACAGTGTCAACATTCAGACAAAGCCTAAACTACATCTTACACATTGCTATGTCAAATCACAAATGGTGTGATTCAAGAATGTGAAATACAAATAGACCTCAAGCTTTTAAACTCTAGGTTTTTTATTAAGTTTTCATAACCCCCATTTTTCAGTTTAAGTAATGTCTAGAACAACATATCAGACTGTAAGCAGTGTTAACATTCAGACCGTACCAAAACTACATCTTAAATAGAATGTCAATGCAAATTGACCTCAAGCTCTGAAATCCTGGGTTTATTGTTGAGTTACCATAATCCTAGGCTTATTATTCAGTATAATTATTTATATAATTATAAAATAGCATACAAGCACTAGAAATCAGGGTGTATACAGTGTCAACATAGCAATTTTATATTTTAAACATTACAAACTGTGTTGTTGAATGCCAATTGACTTCAAGCCCCGAAACTCATATAAACAGCATATACTGTAAACACTGTCAGTATTCAGTTATAGCAATCTCACAATTTGTGAGAATATTACAAAGATGTGCAAAAAAGGTCAAACCCTTAAAATGATGCTTATTCTTCAGGTATTAATCTTACAGCATATTTTACAGTAACTACAATCCATTACTCAGTAGCTTT